TATATATATATATATATATATATATTCATGCCTTCATAGATTGTGTTCGTTACGTGGAGCCTTAGTGATAAAACAAAGAATTGAAGTGGGAGCGAGAAGGCCTGGTGCAACGTGGAATACCAGCGTTTATGAACAGTGCTACGGTAACACAGATTTGAGATTCAATAATTCCTAGGGTAACTGCATATTGATCTGAGGAGCTATGAAGGATATCCAGAAACTAATCAGCTCCTCCAGTCATCCGTCATGCGAACTCGAGTTGAAAGCCTTGAGGCCAATCAGGTTCGACTAGTTGTGGTAATCATTGATATGCATAATAAAAACTAAGACGCATAGATTCGTTAACCAGTGTAACCCGAGCTTACATCGTCGGTGGTTGAACAAATGCGCAATGTTCCAACAGGTGCCCGAATAACTTCACAGTTATCACTGTTATGGTTTTAGATGAGTGAGAGGAGGTGGATACAAACTGTTAAGTTCATTTCAAACGCATCGAGGTGAGAAAACATCACATCGAGAAACAATTTTCGGGTGCTGTCTCTCTGAGTTGCCAGGAGTGCATACGTCCCGTGACATGTGAGTGAACATCATACTCTGAGTTCAACAGGATTGTGAAATGACTTGCCTACTATGCATTTGTAACAATCATCCTATCAAGTTCTGGGTTGTCTATTCTCCTCTCTCCATCTTTCTCTCAGGTGAACAGGTGTTCCAAGTCGGCACGCACTCGGCCGCCACATTTGTGCTTGCCTGGCATCCGAAACAATATCTGCTTAGCTACTCGAGCGAGGCTAAATACGACCAAGGAGTGATTCGCCTGTTCGGTCTGCCGTCTGACGGAAGTCGACCGGCCGATCCGATCTGACTGGACCGCTAGGCGTTCGTGCGCCGTATTGTATATAGCCATCATTTATACAGTGAAAATACTATAAAATGTAATGAAAGATTGTGGTCTTTGGTTCAATAAATCCATATAACTCATGAATGTGAATATTAGTCGGGATAGGGTAGAGCGGGACGGGAAGAGAAAAATCAATAAATTCCCAGGAGTCGATAGTTATAGGTTCACGACTGACTGAATCTCCCTCTTAGCTTCAAAGCACCGCGTGGACCGGCGGAACTAGTAAATATACTGTATGATTTGTTCCACACAACTGAGTGTAGCTTTGAATGCGTTTTATTGTTTGCTGGTCCATAAAGCAGTTAGTGTCGGGCTGAATTTCTAATGCTAATGAGGGAAAACAGCAAAGTTGAATGAAACTATACGTGACGTGAATACCTCCTCCTTTTCGAGAAAGTGGATATGCTGCTTTAAATTTAACCACTCAAAAAGAATATATCCGTAAAGTACAATGGATATGGACACATAAAGGTGGTTGATGCACAGTAATTTCACCGTCATGGGACAGTGGTCCTCTCGTGCGATTAGAAAAAATATCGTCGGGACTGAAAAAAAATGATGTACTGTTGGAGGGGGATTCGGGAAATCGTACAACATGTTTAAAATAAAAAAAGCTGGCAATAGGGTTGTCTGTCAGCCAGCTCCCTTTTCAAACACGTAGTTCCTGGTTGCTGACAGATAGTCTTGATATATAGGGAGAAACCATGGGTACATTCAGTGAAGAGGTTCAGACGGGAATACAAAATTTTTGGCTGATTCGAATCATCAACTAGTTTTCATTCTGACCACTTTTTATAATCATGTAAACTTGCATCTTCCGTGCACCGAATTGGTTTGCCTCAAGGGTTCCATTCTTGTGCAAATTAATGACTCCCATTTTATCATCACTAAACGTATTTCCACTATTAATATTTCATTACGTAACCAATTACGTAGAGCTGTCAAATGTGCCACAACGTCTGAAGAAAAGATCTGTAGAATATGGTTCATAGGTTGTGTGAGCGTCACTCCTCAGCTGCCCTGACCGAAGGGAATAACCTCGGGGTCTCCACCCGAAACCTTTGACTAGAAAGCCAGACCTGCAAGACGAAGCTCAGAGTCCGTAGTCCATTGGGGGGGGGGGGTCCAGTTCATTGGATTATACGCCCTTTGCACGGGGTCAAACGTCCAAGGTGCCCAATCGAGCCGATGACCACTGCCACAACCAGGAAGGTGTGTGTGTGTGTCTGGTTAGTACGCCTCTTCTTGATGGTTTGGAATCAGTTTTCAGCAATCTCCTCTAGGTGAACTGTAAGTGGTTCACCAACATGATTATAACCCCGGATGTTGGCTTTTGCTTCTCTCACTGGTGGGAAAATACCTCTGGGACGAGAAGGCAGTAAATAGGGCTTTCTCAGCAGAGGCTATTTGAGGCCCTTGGTCATATGGGAGCATTTCTCGAGGTATGAGGGAATCGTGATCAGTCACAATCTAAGACACCCACCCCGACCATACTGAGGTTTTCTCACTAACCGTCATTGCACGATCTGAGTATCTGTCAGGCTTAATTACTATGGTGTGAAGTGACCATGATTATCTGTATCAGGTGGTGCGGAGCAGCATTGTCTCTTATGAGATCGAGCGGTGAAAGTGCTTTTACCCTGATCACCATAACAGGTTTTACTGCCTGTCGGAAATAATGGGAAGTGCTAGACCGCCCAAATAGAGCGTACGCAAAATCTCTGAATATTCAATAACGCTGTTTGCTCATTGATTCCGATAACCTTCAGCGAAACAGACAGGATGAAGGGCAACATTGCAACCGGAACGATTTGCACAGATCCATTAGACCACTCGGGGGCTGTGCTTATGATTCCGACGATAGAGCGAGGTGCACATGGTGGATTACATCGTGTACAGAGCAGATGAAGCTCGGGAGCTGTTAATCTTGGGAACACTACAGCTGTTTCGGCCCGATTCAGTCCCATCAGCAGTGCGCGAATCCATTCACTCAAGTGACAATAGCGAACCCGGTACTTCACAGGTAGAGTGCAAGCATATTACCCACTCGACGATCCCGGGGCAGATGAGCAGATCGTTTTTCTTGCTGCCTATACACGATGTGGCACAGCCCATCTTCGCGAGCTTATTGCAGGCACCGCACCTCATCTCACCACTAGCCTCTAGGGTTAAGACTCAGTTGGGGGAAATTCCAATCTGAGTATTTTTTGTATGATGAGACACCGTAATTGAATTAAATCTTCCACTACTCCTGAATTTCATCAGTGGCGTTCACTTGATTTTTACCCACACTCGTACACTGCACCCAGGCATGCAAGTTGGCCTCATTCGCGACAAGGGAAGAGACAAGAGGTGGCATGCCATCGTTTCGGTTCGGAATGAATGCAAAGGAGCGGCAAATCATTTGTTAACAGTTCATAGGTACATTTATACGCCCTCTTGAATCGTTCATTCATCATCAAGGAATCGCTTTATGCACCTTGAAAAGTTGATATTGAGCAACCACATAACCACAGTGTATCAACAAAAAGTGAAAAAACATAATACAACAATTAAAAGACGTGAAAACGGACAGCAACATCAAAAACCAATGGCGTACCCGGCTGTTTATGACTGATTTATTTTAGCATTCTGCGCAGATTTCCTGCAACGAGTTCATGGTTTGTTAGAAATCTGGCGGCTGTAAGCTTCAGTGCGCGTCTTTATAAGTTTGAGTGGGACGGGTGGACAATTGAGAAAGACACTGACTAAGGGTGGAATAAAGGGGATGGGAAATACCAGATCAAATCTTATTGAAGAACGTTTTACAGGACTTGAGGTAGTAGGTTACCACATACTGTACCAGATTTTCCCGGGGCATGAGACTACAAACCGATAGAAATTTGAGGGACCGGGAAATGAGTTTGAGGTCCTTATTAAACGGATAAGGGAAGATAACAGGGGACCCATAAAACCAGTGGGGCAAAACGCAAGTAAAAACAAAACACCTTATGAGATGGTTCGGGATAAAAAGTGATTTAAGACGTAAAACAAAACCTTAGCCTCCTGACCCTCGGAATATTGTCATTAACGTGGTCAGACCATATGAGGGAGCGGTTGAAAGTGACGCCAATTTATTTGGAAGACGGTTGTCGTTCCATCTGGTCACGGGATAGATAAAGGCGGACTGGTATGTGATAATTCATCCTACTTTTGCCCTTTCAAAAAGGAAAAAAAATTGTCATTACATTTTTGGGGGTTCATGCGGAGGTTCTTTTGTTGACACCACTCAACTATTTCTGACATGTTTTCCTGCAGAGGGGTTTGAAATGATGGGTTGGGAAAGAGCATTCCAAATATTATATTGTCTGCATACTTAACGAGAAGGGAAAAATTGCTCACAGTCATAGAGGAAATGTAAGCAGAAAATAGAGAAGGGAATAAAACAGCGCCTTGTGAGGCGGGCAGCAGTGAAGATATACTATCTTTGTGGCGTGTGAACTGCTGACAATTGGAGGAATAGTTGGTCCAGTTTTCAATCGTAGAATGTTGAACTCCGCCGGAAGAGAGGGTATTTAGCAAAATTTGTTGATCAGTTGTGTTGAAAGCATCAATGTAGTCAAGATAACATGCGTAAAGCCTTGCTTTTCCTATCCAGGCTGGATAAAACAAAGTGGGACAGATATGCAAGGGTATCCAGGGTGCCGCGGGGATGGGTGTACGCAAACTGGTTTAGGTCACCAACATTGAACTGTGTGGATAGGGTCTTAATGAGGAGCCTCTCAAACACCTTCACAACAACTGAGGNCTGAGGTGCAGGCAACGGGACGGAATTTCGAGGATCCTTTCTTCGGTACTGTCGTGGTCTACAACTGACTGATTTGTGTTCATACAAGCCTGTGGCCAAATTGATTGATTGGTTGATCCATTGACTGACTGAATGCTAGCTTGACGGCATTCGCATGTAGTGCGACGTGTGAGCCTGTGTCGGCCTGCCTTCCTCCGCGTTGTTCGTTCCTGCTTGTTTCCCGGTTTGTGAACCGGCTACATATTTGCTTTTTACAATAAACTTACTGCCAATTCGTGTGCTCATCTACCTACTTAATTTGGAACGCAACAGGTACTGGGTTGATAGAGGCTATTCTCTAGCAGTCGGTTATATGTTACTGCGAAATACAATTATTGCAAAGTTCATTCAGTACAGGGGAAGGGAAGGCAGCATATTCTTTTAGGACAACGATTGAGAGTCCGTCGGGGCTGTAGAACTTTTAAGCGAGCCAACTCTCAATTAATATCGGCAGGTGCAACGCTGACGACGGGATCAGTCATGTTTACTTCGTATCCACTAGGTAGAGCGGTAAGAATGGTTCCACTGTTGATGAAACTCTAATTCAGACCATCTATGTTCACCGCAGCAGGTACGCGATGTGAGGATTTGATGCCAGAAATTCGCATGAGGGCTTGTCATGACTCTGGTGAGGAATGGTGACGGCTTTGTTTCCAACTTTCGCTGCTCGTTAAAATCAAGTCTTAGTTGTCAGGCCATGTAAGACCCAAGACCTAACGAACAGTGACGAAGGGAATTTGGTCTGAGTTACCCGGACAACATGAAGAAATCCAGCTTGTCTCAATCGCCTAGCACGAAAACCGGCCGCTTTACTTGTCAACAAATGCAAAGAACGTTTTCTTCCAAGCGGATGGGTTCAGAGTAGAACAAATATATTCAGGAAATAGGCAGTGACAACGGAGGAGGGGGGGTTGAGAAATAACGTGAAAATTCTTGTCTTCAAACCCTCAGCTCCTTTTGGAGAAGAAAGGATCATTGCTTTCTACCTTCATAGTTGATGAACAGTAAGATTTCAAGCTTATTAGGGAAAAACTAATCCTCGTTATATGATGGAAACCCACCTCTGAATAACTCTCATAAAATCTTCCATGGTACCACCACATTAAAGTTAGCAACGAATTGTTTTACGCATTCAGAC